TTGTTGTGGAGGTCGGCGTTGACGCCCTTGACGGTACCGCTCAAGTTGACGCTGTCAGTGACGCGGTCAACGGTCTCGGTGAGCTTGGGAACAACGGGAAGGTCGAGCTGACGCCTGGCGTTTCCGACAACCCTGATCTTGGTGACATCGCCAACGATGTCGGTAACGGGCTTGGTGAGGTCGGTAGCAGGCCTGGTGAGGCCGCCAAGGACCTCAAGTTGGCGCTTCTCTTTCAAGAGACCAGTGACGCCTTCGAGGCTACCATCCTTGGAGACAACACCGGTGACGGGGTCAACGGTCTTGCCGACGGTACCAGTGAGGGATCCAACAGTGCCAGTGGCGGTGCCAGTGACTGAGCCGACTAGGTTGTTGAGGCCAAGCTGAGGAGTAGGGGCCGAGAGGACGGATGCGGAAAACGCAAAGATGGAAACAGCGACGTAGGAACGCATCTTGACTGTGGGTCGGATGTATTAAAGAAGTAAGTGGTATATAATAGTAAAACGAATGAGTGACAGTGTTTGGAAGAGAGCGACTGTGATGCGTTGGATGATCTTGGTCACATAGGCTGGGGTGTGTGATTTATATGCTTTGACGGTTTCCTCGAAGACGTCTGTTCCGATTCAGAGGCTCGTCGATCCTCCTCTCACCGTGCCCGTGAGCGCGTTGCTGTCCCTGTCCAGCGTGGTAGATCAGAGCTTAGTTTGATTTGACTTGGTGATGGTGGACAAAACTGGCAGCACGCTGCTGCATGTCTAGTCTAGGCAGAAAGCTGCGACGATCTTCATTACCAGACTCCCGCCTCAGGACGGCCCAATCAAAGACAGTAGTGCAGGTCGCTGGGGAGGTTAGTTGGGCTTAGTGTGAGGGAGCCACACGAGCTATGGGGTACAGAAACCATGAATCGTGCACAGAGCAAGCAAGACTTCCTTATCCAGCACGACTACACGGCGGGAGCTTACGGTCAGTCTCGGCAGTCAAGCTTTCCAAGGCACTTGGTTGGAGTTTCAGACAGTTTAGTTGCCGCTACATGTTGTCAGACTGGTGGGCGATCGCGCTCAAGTGGTAGTTGAACATGGGAGGATTGAAGAATGACGTTAGCGGAATATGACGTCGGCCAAATTGTGTTTCAACTGTGCGAGGGTCGAAGAGCCGTGCAGGGGTTGAGATGTAGGGGTATAACGTGCCCATGCAGGGACATAACATGAGCGTGGTTGTGTTTTCTGCTGCTTGGCTGAGCGGGCGAACGACGGTCTCCTCCCCCCCTGAAGATCTAGGGTAGCATGTGGAAAAGTAGTACTACCGTGCCTGCGCTAAGTGTCGATCATCCGCTTCCAGCAGCATGCCTGAATCTGAGTACATCGGCAGCGTCTGTCTAGCAGCCTCTTTGCGCCAGCCAGGTTATACCAGTTTCCCTACCTGTCCCTATCCGATCGCCGTTTTCCAGCAGAGCCGCGAGTCACTAGCGTGTTGGTCGCCAATCTACCATCTAACTGTCGTTGGCTGCAAATTCGACAGACATGTACGGATAAGGGATGGGGGGAAAAGGGAGAGGCCTGGTCATCGCAGTGAGATTTGGCCGAATACTAGCCACGTGGGGAATGCGATCAACATGGACCTTGACCGAAACGTACTCTCCACTGTTTCCGCCATCGACACGAGCACCACGCTGAGACATACTGAGGAAGTTGCCGGCGGGAGACTCTCTTCCGCGCAGAACATTGCTAGTGAGACAAGCCACTACACAACTCTGTATTATTGAATCCTCGTCTTTGGTGTTGACCGTATCTTAGCCTTGTCACGTGAACGGGCCATTCATTGCCTCACTCGTCGCTATAGAGCTGGTCAGACAACAGCTGATGTTGCTCAGCCTCAAGAACTACCACCGCGCTACTTTGTAACTGAGACCACTACGAAGGCACTGCGTGGGAATTGAGTTTTGGGGAGCGTCGTGACAGCATGGTGCGACTCAACGTGGCGCAACATAGCGGAAAGTTTGGCGAGGCGTGAGGCGCTGATAGCGAGCACCGGCGTCCTACGTAGCAGCATTCTGGATTGTCTCCTCAGGCACTTGTTCAAGCGCGAACATGGATCCATCACTGTCTCTCCAGGCTGCGCTGCGCAAATGAGTGAGTGCCCACCCGCTGCGCGTTGCGTGGCCCCTGCAAAATCACCTTCTCCACTTCCACGCGCATGAATTCTGGGGCTGCATCCCCTTTTTGCTTCACGTCTTCACTCAACTTAGACGACTCATTTCTAGCTCTGCCATTTTGACTCTGTTGTTGTATTCCTATCCAGATGCAAAAGGCAGGAAAAAATTATTTTGCTCGTTACGAATACGAACAAATCAATATTCATTGTCCAGAGTTGCAGACACAGCCTGTGCAAAATCCAAAGGCAACTTTTCCAAACCCACTAGGGTAAGATCTACATAATTACAAAGTGGAAACAGAAATGGCGTAATATCGTTACATTCATTCCGAGTCAGTCACGCAGCCCTGACTGGCATCCTTTACAAAACGCGCGTACTTGAAGAGCGTACCCTTCTGGTACTTGAGCGCAGGCGCGGTCCACTTCTTCCTCCTCTCCGCCAGCTCCTCTTCGCTCACAGAAATGTTCAGCTCATTCGATTCAGAGTCAATGGTAATTTCATCACCATCCTGAACAAGGCCAATAGGACCTCCCTCTTGCGCCTCGGGCACAATATGACCAATCAAGAAGCCGTGACTACCGCCGCTGAAGCGACCATCTGTAATGAGTGCGACATCCTTTCCAAGACCAGCACCCATGATGGCAGAGCTGGGTTTCAACATCTCCGGCATACCAGGGCCGCCCTTGGGTCCTTCATATCGGATCACCACAACAGTCTTCTCGCCCTTTTTGATCTCTCCGCGCTCAAGAGCGGTGATGAAGTCGTCTTCGGCATCGTAGCACTTTGCCTTTCCGGTGAACTGGGTGCCCTCCTTACCAGTAATTTTGCCTACGCAACCACCAGGAGCAAGGGTTCCCCTCAGAATCTGCAGGTGACCAGTTGATTTCAAGGGTTCGCTAAGCGGCCTGATGATCTTTTGCTCAGCAGGGAAGTCCTTGACAGTCTCCAGGTTCCCCTTCAGCTTCTTGCCAGTGACCGTCATCTGGTTACCGTCAAGAAGGCCCTCCTTCAACAGAAACTTGAGAAGTGATGGCGTGCCACCAATGTCGTGAATGTCAGCCATGACGTACTTGCCAGAAGGCTTCAAATCGGCCAACAATGGAATGCGGTCGCTGACGCTCTGGAAGTCGTCAATGGTGAGCTTGAGGCCAACCGAGTCGGCAATGGCGATCAAGTGAAGAACAGCGTTGGTCGAGCCACCAGTGATGCTAATGACAACCATGGCGTTCTCCAGCGCCTGGCGGGTGATGATGTCGCTCGGTCGGATGTCTTCCTTGAGAAGGTTCTTGATGGCGCCGCCTGCCGCTAGACACTCGAGCATCTTGGCCTTGGAGTTGGCGGGATTGGATGAGGAGCCGGGCAGCGACATGCCCATGGTCTCAATCGCAGTAGCCATTGTGTTTGCCGTGTACATGCCTCCACACGCACCCTGCCCATTGCATGCATGCCTGATGATGTCAAAGCGCTGGTCTTCGGTGATCTCGCCGGTGATGAATTGACCGTATGCCTGGAAAGCGGAAACAATGTCAATCTGCTGGTTTTCGAGTGTCTTTGCACAGCCAGGCTGGATAGTTCCACCGTAGACCATGAGCGAAGGCCTGTTGACACGACCCATAGCCATGATGACACCAGGCATGTTCTTGTCGCAGCCGGGAATGGAGATATTTGCATCGTACCACTGACCGCCCATGACCGTCTCGATAGAGTCTGCAATAATCTCACGCGACTGTAGCGAGTAGCGCATGCCTTTTGTGCCCATGGAAATACCATCGCTGACTCCAATGGTGTTAAACTGCATGCCCAACAGTCCCGCACGCTCTACACCTTCCTTGACCTTGTTGTTCAGGTCCATCAGGTGCATGTTGCAGGGATTGCCCGAGTACCACACGGACGAGATGCCAACCTGGGCCTTGTTCATATCCTCCTCGCTCATGCCCGTGGCGTACAGCATGGCCTGCGAGGCGCCCTGCGACTTGGGCTGAGTAATGTGCTTGCTGACTGAATTGAGTTCATTGTCGGCTTTGACGATGCGGAGTGCGGTGCTGGAGAGGGCACGTCTGGGAGCCGTCAGTATCAGTGTAGCAATGTCAATTACTATGAAAAACATACGCTGCGTGCCATTGTGGCCGCGGTGAGCACCTCGCGCGCGCGAGAAGACATCCAAAGCGTGCGAGAGACATTGTGGCTGGCGATTCACTTCCCCAGAGTGTCGCGGCATCAATTTATCGATGCGAGCTCGGAGGACGCGGAGTCGGACGCCTCTCCGTGCGGGCGGGCAGCCAATGAGAGGCAACGTGATGATGCATCACGCTTTGATCGTCGGCTATCCATCATCATGGTCGAGAGCTCCTATTTCATCATCTGGCTGCATTGTCTTGTACAATCATTTTTGCCTACAAAGGCGAACCAACGTGTGTCACGCTCTATCTCCTGTGAATAGTCCATCGTCACAGGACAGCCGTTTCAATTATGGTTATTCATCGCCAGTTTACAGCTTGTGAGAGTGCCTCCGTCAATGATGCAGCAATTCACTCTGATCAAATCAACTATATATTGCTTATGTTCCCATTATCCTTATAGGTTTCGTTGATACACAACATTTTCTTTCTCCATCAATTTGTGGCGACCAATTGGCCAGATGAAACGCCTTTTGATCAATAGTCTCATTATTCTACCAAGCTTTGCGCAGACTGCAAGCCGAATATACACGGGCTTCAACTATGGCGCATTTTGGAGCGTAGAAGCCAATGTCAAAAAGAAGGCCGACTTTCTCGACGGCTTCAAATTGGCCAAAAATCTAACAACCGACATACCATTCGACAGTGCGCGGCTGTTCACGTGCAAAACTGCTGGGACAGTGGACGAACCAACGGAAGCATTTGACGCCGCCGTAGAATCAAAAACTAACCTCCTATTGGGCTTCTGGATAACCCCAGCACGAAGCGGGGACTCGCCTGACGAAAATGTCAAGAATGAAATGGCAGCACTCGAGAAAGGTTTCAAAAAGCATGGCCAAGCACTTTCAGACCTCATCATTGGACTCTCCGTAGGAAGCGAGGACATCTACCGCGCTGAGGAAGCCGGTGAGCTAGGTCTCACAGCAGAGGTTATTGGGCAGATCATTGCCAAAGTCAAAGAGAGTATTGCTGCGTCGTCGTTTGCCCAATATATGAAAGACAAGCCCATCGGACACGTAGATACTGCCAAACACTGTGTCGTAGATAATGCTGACTTCATCGGAATGACTGCTTACCCATACTGGAATAAAGACAGCATCGACACAGCAAGTGATAGCTTTCAATATTCTCTAGAGGAAGTCAAGCAGCGGGCAGGCAACAGGCCAGTCTGGATCGCAGAAATGGGCTGGCCATCAACCGATACAGAGCAACATGGTGCAGCAGTTGCAGGGATTGATGAACTACAGAAGTTCTGGACCGAAGTTGGATGCGTCGTTTTTGGCAAGTACACGGCCTTTTGGTACGAGCTGCTGAAAGACTCTACGCCTGATCAAAAAGCCGACTGGGGCCTGATCGATACGCTTTCGCGCAAGCCTCACATCAAGGATCTCAGCTGTGGAGCCCCAAAGCAAAGTCGTCCGGCTGCCCCTTCGGCAGATTCGCAATTTACACTGCAGTCTTCTTTGTTAGCATCAAACGGGTTAAGTGGCTTCAAGGTGCCCGATCCCTCAACTACGCTATCATCATCGGAGATACAGCCAAGTCCCGGGATATCGAATGTCACCCTATCCAAGGTCGGTCCGAGCACGACGTATGTGACTGTGTACAAAACTACGACAATAACTTCCACACCAAAGATGTGGAGCAACACGTCATTCTCAAGTGTTGCAGGAACAAAAATGATTACACAGTCCATAACTGTTCTATCACCTTTCACAAGCAAGACACCCTCAGACCGCTCCCTTTCATATTTCACAACTACTAGTATGCCAGGTACGTCGTGATTCAAATCATGAAACGCATCTTGCCACTAACAAACTCTAAGTATTGCCAAGCCGATCCACGATCAGTTCTAGTAGTCACGCTACTTTTAGTGCCACCAGAATGACTACAAACCGTGCTAACCCTACAACAGCGCCTCATCGGGCCACTTCGTTCGTGAAGACAAACTGGTGTGTCACGGTCGCCGATGTTGATCGGAACGGCCAGCCGGTCATCGTCGCAGGGGGACCTGCTGCACCAAATGGAGAGTGTAGCTCACCGCCTACATTTTATGGATTTCCATATGCGGCAACTAATGAAGCAGCCATCACAGAGAAACCATCTGACGTGCCTGTTGGGAGGGCATGGTGCGTTACTATGGCTGATGTTGATAGAAATGGGCAAATGCTTCCGGTCGATGCAGGTCCAGCAATGTTAGATGATGAGTGTTACGCTCCTTCAATGTATCAGTGGAAAGGAGGGATGGCTTCATGACAAATGAGTCAGATTTGATTTGAGACTACATACCAATTTTCATATCTCAGTCTGCATGCTGCATGTGTATTACAAAATTAGCACCATGGTGAACCAGAATAAGACGTAGTATAGCGGCACCGCATACAAATATATTACATAGGCCAAGACAGTACATAGAAGTAGAGTAGAGTTGATATGGCATACAAGCACAGCATAAATCATTTATCATACATTCATCCCCTTTTCTACTCACACCGCTCCCCAAACTTCCGCATACCGATCATTCCCTGAATCGCGATTCCTATCATACTCACTCCGGTCCGCAATCGTCTGCGCCACCTCCTCTCCAAAAACCTCCGCAATCCACGCATACGCCAGATCCGTACCAGCAGAGATACCAGAGCTAGTCCAGATATTCCCGTCAGCCACCCACCGCGCTTTAGCCACCCAATTCACATTAGGATGCAAAGCCTTGACCTATATATCCACGTCAACTTACCTCCCCACTCACCCACCCATGCAAGAACACAAGAGAAATTTCGAAGGGAATAGGAGAGAGAGAGGGGGGGAAAGGGTGAATAACTCACATTATTAAAAGCTCGTTTATTCGACGTCGCCCTTCGCCCATCCAACTTCCCCGTCCGCGCCAAAATTTCACTTCCCGTACAAACCGTGAGCACCCACTTCACCTTTCCCCTACCACTCAAATCCAGCTTCTTCAGATACTCAACCAAGGGATCCATGCGCTCGTCGCTTCCTTCCTCCCTCGAACCCATCCCGCCGGGGATAAGCAGGACATCGAGGTCGTCGGGTGCCGAGTCGAATGTGTGGGTTGGCACGAGTGATTGGGAGATTTGCGAGCCTTGCTGCACGTGCAGCGTGCTGTGGGTGGAGACTGGGTCGAGAGTTGCGGCGAGGATGCTGAGGGAGATGTTGTGGGTGTAGCCGAGGATGTTGAAGGCGTCGAGGGGGCCTGCGACGTCGAGCAGTTGGAAGCCGGGGAAGAGGATGAGGCCGAATTTGGAGGGGAGGGGGGTGGTGGACATTTTTGGGGGACTAGGGATTCTGGGGTAATGGGGGTTTTATCTTCCTTTTATTTTATTTTTCTCTAAAGAACCGAAAGATCGAGATGTAGAAATTGGGGGGGGGAAAGAGATTAATGTTGATACTTCATGGTATCATGCATGTGACTCAGTGGTTTTTGTAGAGACTACTATTAGTAAGCGATGAGGCTTGGTACCCCGTGGGGGGAGCACATTAGAGTCAGTTTCCGCCCGCGGATTTATTCTAATGGCTTAAATCGAGTGGAAAAAGCCAATCGAGACATCACTGGCCATGGACACGGCATGGGAGTTGTTTATTAGGCTAGGACATAAAAGCGTTATATTACGAAACGAATGAATGTACAACGTTCTTACGACTGCCACCAACTACACAACACCATTCATATGCACACCCTGCTCTTCCTGCTGATGTACCGTCAGCATCCGCCTGGTCTTATCAATCCTCTCCTTGGTAAGAATGTAGCTCTTCGGAATATCGCCCCGTTGTATCATCTGCGCCTGCACTGCGCCAACGTCTTGTCCACCAATCTCTGCAAGTACCATGTCCACAATTGCCTTTCCACACAGTGTACCGTTTGGCATGCCATGGCCGGTGTATCCACCGCAAAGCCACAAGCCGTCTCTGTCTGGGACCTTTCCAACCCATGGGTGATTGTCACGGGAGTAGCCCATGATACCAGTCCATTGAGCAGCAGCCTTCAGTTCTTTGAGACCTTCAGTCTTGCCGTCGAGTTCGAGTACCTTGAGCAGAGCGCCTCGGAGATAGGCGGCAGATCCCTCGTCGATAAAGCTGTCGTCCGAGATGCCTAGACTTGGGTAGTTTCCAGCTCCGCGGCCGCCACCAAACATGAGGTGACCGGCAGGGTTTGGCACACCCTCAAATGGTCTCTGGACAAGGTAATCGTCATTGTGAGCAGGCTGGCCGAGCGCAGCAACCATACCGTAGGAGTTTGGAAGGAGTGTCGAGCCCTCTGGCGGGAACAGGGCGGACATCTCACCGCGGCATGGGACGATGAGATCCGCAAAGTGGGGTAGGAGAGCCGATGTGTAGCCATTCGTTGCCAGAATGACAGTCTTGCTGCTGATGGTACCACGAGGTGTGTGTAGTGTATGTTTACCCTCGGAAGTTGTGATATTTGTAACAGGGGTCTTGGTCTGGAGATTTACTCGACCGTCTTGCACGAGCTTTTGTAGAATGAATGTGACCAGCTTGTATGGCCACAAACTCGCTGCTCCTTCACTCAAAGTCGCCGCAAGGCAGTCAGGCGCGACGCGATGCTTCTTGAGTTCCTCCTTGTCCTTGATCACTGTCACCTTTGCGGCTATCTCAGGCGCAACGTTGCGAAGATGCCGGAGCTCATTCTCAACCTCCTTTAGTGCCGCCTGATTCCAAAAAGTCCGACAGCCGGTCACGTCCCGCCATTCACATGGCACATTGTTATCTTGTATGTAGAATCGTACTGCAGCAACATTCTTAAGTTCGAATCTGGCTACATCGCTGGATCTGTCGAACAAGAGGGGCTGACAGTGTCCACCGTTCTACAACTGGTTGTCAGCATAGATCCTTCACAATCCCGCGTCGGATAACCCCAGGCCAGGCGTGTTCCGAATGCCGTCCACATGCGTAGGCAATCATTCTGAAGACTTACCCTACCAGTAGCACCCCAACACGCTTCTCTCGCCTCGAGCATTACGATGCTCTTGCCATTGGCCCTTTCATCCTCTGCAAGGTATCTAGCCGTACTTGCACCCGTAATACCAGAGCCCACAATGACGATGTCAGCCTCGGCGGGCAAGTTTTCCGTTGTGCGATGACCGATAAGATACTCGTTTGGCTCGCTATGCCAGAAGGAGTCGGACGACGTGGGTGTCGGAAGGGTAGCGCGTTCCTGTCTCATGATGCGAAAGTAGATGAATGTGTGTGGATAAGGTTGGAGAATTGTGGACTCAAAATGGATTGAATTGAGTTCTTATATGTGTGTTTCTCTCCTTCACACTCAGAGGACAATCCCATGTGGTGACGATTCTATTCCCCAAGGTTCGGAATATGTTTGTTGTACCGACGCCTTTGGACTTCGTGGCGGCGTGGCGGAGGGGTAGTGGATCGTTGGTCGGAATACCAACTTAGGCTATCTACGGGATCATCCTGTTGCTCCGATAGCAGGGTATGCCGAGCGCTGATCGCTACAAGCCGCGTCAAGAGTCGGAATCATCATTATGTGTTTCTAGAGTTGTCGAACCAGCATAGGACAGTAAGAAATGAAGGTACTCAAGAGGTTGGATAAGGTACAGAGGGGCAATTCAATCGTGGTGCTCGAGTCATGACAACAGACAGCTGGAGCACATGCCACGAGTCAGTAGGGCTGATTACCGTGTCCGTGCACCTCATGCACGGATTCATCTCGTGCACGCCGAACACCAAACGCGCGTCTCAGCGTCAT